CAAACTTGTCGTTTTGCTGATTATGACATGTTTGCGGCTAAACGGAAAAGTAAAGAAGCCATCGAAATAAAGCGAATAGGAACCACCTTGAATGTAAGGAATACCGGCAATAAAATAAGTAAAAATTAATTGTGCTTAATTAATATATCAAAGGATAGGGAGAGTGTCGAGCCGCCTCAAAAAGGTGGTAACTCAACTTGTCCTTTCTTGTCTTGGCTCTAATCACGGTCACTTCTCAGCACTTTGAGGCCACTCGTCCTCTCTTATTTAAAGACAAATATGCTCAGCAACATAATCGGACGTGTGTCCAACCTTGCACCTTCGCAATCTAAACATATAAAAGGGATGATGCTAGTCATCAAGTCTTGATGGCCAAGAACAGAAGCTACTTTTACTGTCCTAACCACTTTGAGCCATCGCTGCTGGTTTCGACACATGCGAGCACACACAAAGACAGATACACTCAATTGCCTCGAGGCTGACATGTGACTAGAACTAACCAAATCACTTGGTACCTGACGAAAGAGGTCAGATGTATGGTATATATACCGCTTTTTAGGGATTTGCGGGTGGCTTTTCTTGACTCGTTAGCTTCAATTTGGTTGCAACAATGACAACAGCGCTCTGATGATGTTCGTCACACGACGGATAAAAGTTTACCACCCTTCGCCGTAATCGAAGAAGATTGCCTCGGAAACAGCATCAGCATGATGGTTCCAGTAAAGCCAATCGACAGTTGGTCAAGAGGAATCGGACGTCGTTTTTTGGCGCAATCGACCTTTGAATCTCTTCAACAAACACTTTTACTCGAAATGAAAGTAAGCTCAGCAGTTGAATTTCGCTCAGGATCACAAAAGCAGGTCTCAAGTTTCCATTCCATTTCACAGAGCTTTGCTCCCCAAAAGGTATTTTCACTCTGGATGGAGTAGTCTGCAGTTTCGACCTCTCCTCAACTGGCCCAAGCCGCACCCCCGCGGGACTCGAATCCCGGTTGATGTGCGGCGTATAATCTCTACGCCTTGACCCCCCTGCCATACACAGTCACGAGTGTCTCTGGCCCACAGACAAGATGCGAATTTCACACAAGTCCAGGCCGTTTGAGTATCACATTTCTTTGATGGGATTTTCAATGAAGCCAACTTGCTGTTGCTGTTGCTGTAGCAAGCGACTAGAAGACTTATTTATCATTTTCAAGCACGACTTTCCAGACGACGGCGCAGGATGGCGAACCGAGGTCCTCTTCGTGCAGTCCATCAGTCCCGAGTCTGAGGCCCGACTCCTTCCACGTGCGCTGAAGCGAATGTACAAATCCTTTTAACTCGCCATCGCGAACCAATTGGACTCTTCCACAATGACCCTCGAAGGCCAGATTGTCTTGCTGCCAACAATTGTCGGCTGCACTACTTACCACCAAATGAGTAGTCTCAATTGTTGTCAGTAGAGCGGTTGCACTCGTAACTGCATCAGACCGCATTCCATCGAGACCGAGGATTGCCGTCAAGCGTAAACAAGACAAAAACGACCGACGGACCGACCGACCGCCTGTTTACGCCCAACCCTGACGAGGCATCTCCGAGGCATCTGCGAACCGGTCACTCTCAGACTTCCGGCCAGCCCCACCCACGCCCCAGCCCTGCCCAAGCCCCACCCCAACTCTGTCCGACTGGCTCCCGCCGGGCCCGGTCTGAGCGACGACTGGCTGCGTCGGCATCAACAAGCCGGACGGCCGGACGGTCAGGCGAATCGTCGGCAGACTCCACCGATCCACAAGGTCACGGTACTTTGTTCACGTGTCCACTCGGTGCTGTCGTCAAGACGGTGGCACGACCTTGGCCCGACTGAACTCGGCCCCGTCTGTCAGCAGAACCATCGGAGCACTTTTAGACAACATTCTTTGGCACCTCTCGTCGTGTCCTCCTCGTCTCCACCGCCTGTAGGACGTGGCCGGGATTAGTAGCTACGTCAGTTAGTTACATCAACAGGTCGCCATGACGACACGATGCACTCCAG